CAAAGAACGAACCGAGTTATTTTTCTACCGAAAAAGCAAGGCCCAACTGCGCTCGCTGCAGGGTGCCCTTGGTACATTGTCCAAAAGTGACTTGAACCGACTGGAGCCTCTGGCCCTCCTGGAGGTATAAATATTAAATAACCTCCCATTGACTTAACACTTACTGCTCAAAGGACAGTCCCCAACAAAAATTAAACAACTGTGACACAGTAAGTTATGGGGCTGCAGCTCCAAATAATTCCCTAATGTGCTGGCTGCTTGGCATGAGCAGAGAGGAAAGAACAGGCTGGGAAAAAAAGAAAAACCCTCTTGCAAACACTGACAAAGCATCACCATCGTAATAACAAGGCGAGTCTGAAACCATAAGTCACTTGGACTCCTCTCATAACCCAGAGCAAATATATCTGCCAGATCAAATGCGCTTCGTGCTGGAGGTTTCTATCCAGCGAGCGCGGGATGAAGATGAAGCGTTATTAGATCCCGCCGTGCTTGCCTGAGGAAGCATCCAGCACGATTCGGAGCACGAGTCTGCGTGCCCCAATCAGGGAGCCTGCGGCTCCCCGGGGACGCAGTTACCTGCGATTTACGGCCGGACAAACACGGAGCGCCGGCTCGGCCGCGACGCCCGCGGCGCATCCACGGCGAGCCACGGGAAGGGGCAGCCGGATGATGGATTTCCCCGGCTTCGCTAATCGGAGCCTAATAACTCAGCAGCGCTCGTCACCCAGCTGCTCCCTGGGTGTTCAACAGAGCGACTCCAGCCATCGTGGCCCGGGAGCGGGGCACGCGCCGCTCCTCTTGCTCTGCCTCTGCTTTTCCCTCCGGCCGGAGGCCGCGTCCCGGCTCGCAGGGGAACGTTTGTGCCCGGCTGCTGCCGCCGCGCTCTGCCCAGGACGCCGGACCTGGCCTCGCGGGCTGCTCCGAGCTGCCACGCTGAGCAAGAGGCAGCGCGGCCAAAACACTGCGCGGACCAGGGCAATGATGAGCCCCAAGGCCCTCATCTCATGGAGAGACCTACAGAGGAGAAGCACGGCATTTCCTGAGCCTCCTAACCAAAATATTGCTTGGCTTTTGATGCGACCCCCCTGAACTGTTGTTCTTATATTTATCTATGGGATAAGAACATGAACTACGTGATTTTTTGCACCTATCTCCCATTTCTTAGGCCTGGGCCTTCAAAACCTCACAAAAAAATTCAATTCACAGTGTAGGCTGGTCAACAGCGCTGAATGTCTTACGGGGAAGCACTCAGTGACATCCAGCATTAGAGTCCACCCATCCTCTCCTCCACAAAAGAGATTTCCACTACCAAATCAAGCTGGTCTGTAGTTTCTCTTACACCAATGAGATCCAGCTCACCCGACTGGTTCCAGCTGCTCCTGGATGCGCCTGTGGTTCTGCGGCCAGAACTACGAGGGCTCTGCACAGCCGGGTGACTTGGCGGCACTAACTGGCAGACAGGTCCACCAGAAACCCAGCCCCGGACTGGCCTGGGACCACGTTATTCCTCACAATCCTTTGAAATATTTCTAAAAAGGTAGAGAGAGATTTTATCACTGGTATTTAGTACAATTCTAGCTGCCCTAAAGCAGGGTTTCTAGCTGGAAAAGGGGCAGCTTCATCAAGGCAATTCACGCCTGCGATATTTAGAGCATAACCCTCTTTCTGTTGAGGCCAGAAGACGAACTCCTCTAAGCACGGAGCAGAATCAGCTTTGCAGATAGCTGTTTAGCAAAGCCCTCTTTTGCTGCTCACCTCTCCTGGATTACGGACTGCTGCTGCTCACGGCTCTGCTCGTGCACCGCAGACGCGCGGGCCCCGCGGACGCTCGGGGCAGGTTGCTTATTACTCAGAGGCTGGCAGCGGCGATACATCTCCCGTTAATAGGAGCGAGAGCAACACAACTCATGAGCAAAACCAAACCTGAGCAGGAGAGGGAGAAAATTAAAAAGGAGCCTTGGCCTGATGAATTCGTATCTAACAGCAGTGCAGTTTTACAGCCGAGGGGGTTTAGCTGACTCTGGGATTCCGTGAACTCCCAGGCCAGCACATCCGAGACAGAGACGGGACTGACACAGGGAGCTTCTCCTACGGCTTCGGAGCACGGGAGAGGCACGACGGGACAGACCCCATGGCACAGGGACCCGCCGGGGGTCAGAGCCCAAGAAGCACTGGGAGGCCCTTGAGAAGAGCATTTCAGAAAGATGTGGGATATCCACACTGCGAAACTGAAATATTTACCCCGAATCACCTCCAGGGAGCTGTGGGCCGGCACCCCTTGAGGGCAGGAGCTGCTCAACAGCACAAGGGCTCCGCCAGCTTGAGCGGATCTAGAGCCCTGGGGGGGCTCTTCACTGAGACCCCGCGTTTCGCGTTCAAGGCGGCGCAAGGCAGGAAGGCCCCGGCCCTGCTGCAGCAGGCTACCTTCTCTACGCTTTCCGTAAGCCTTTCCCAAGCCCTCCCACGCGAGGGCAGGGCTCCCTGTGCCGCAGGAGCTCCAAGGGGGCACTGCCGGAGCCTTCCTGGTAGCCCGCCTGCATTCACGATCCTTCAGCGCGTCGCCACCGCTGCCTTGGGACTCCCTTCCCTCTAAACAAGGCTAAAAAGCTGCTCCCTGTGAGCTGAAGGCCCTTTCCGTTCAATCTAGAGACACATCTTAGCCAAACCAGCTCTAGCTACAACATTGCTGCCTCAAATGCTGCTTTTGAAAACGAGAGTACAAATCACCCTCCCTCCAACTCTCACTCTTGCTCCAAGCTGCTTTACAAAGCCCCACGCGCATCTACCCCGCTCGAAAGGGGCGATCCCGAACACGTGCTGGCACAGCCGGCTCCCAGCTGCAGGGATTCGGGATGTCTCCGTGGAAAGCAGCTCCCGGGCCGTGCTCTGTGCACGTGCTGAGCCGACTCCGAGCGCTCCCGCTTGGAGGGAGCGCAGCCAGGCTGGCTGGGGACCTGGGATGTCAGCGCCTACACGGGCTCTTCCCTGGGGTCACTTTGTACCACCACAAACAGGCAAAGCACCAAGCGGAGCAAACAGGGGCTGTACTAACAACAGGAGCACACGGGCAGGTCTGCTCTGCCTTCCTTTAGGCCACCTCTGCCCTCAGTCTTTACATGTCTCTAGGGAGCTGGACCACAGTGGAGCAAACAAGGATGTCCCACACTCCAGGACCTCGCACACAACGAGCCACCTCAGCCCATGCCCTGGCAAGAAAACCTCGTGCATCCGTGTTTTTGCAGGAAGCTTTTGGAAAGCAGCTCCTCAAGAGAGATCAGCCCCCCGCTGCTGTTTTCCCAGCCTTTCCAGCCTCGCTGTCCAAAGTCCCTTCTCCTTGCTGCTCGGAGAGGAGCGGGCACGGGAGGCAGGACAGGGCAGGCCGGCTCTGCAGGCCTCTCTGGCTGCCCGCTGGGGGACGCGGCGCTGCTCGTGGCACAGGAGGCTCCATCCACGCTGGCCTCCTCTCAGGTAACACCAGAACAGCGACTGCCCCCTGTACCCCAAAGCCCATCTTCAGGGAGAAGAGCCCACGTGCAGCTCCAAGGAGCAACAGAGAGGAAAGGAGGCTCTGCAGGCCCCAGCGAGACCAGAGCGGTGGCTGCGGCGTTGCTGGCATCTGTCTGCACGCTGTATAATTAATTAACGAGCACGGGAGGGAGCCTACAGCTCTGGACACGCGTCACTGCTTCCGTTCCAAAACCCGAGGCGATGAGAATTGGTACAAAACACCTTTTGCTGGGTACAAGGCACCTTTTTCTCGCCACACTCCAGGAAGCCGGTGAGTGGCAAGCAAGATCCTGATCAGGTACCTATCTCCATAAACCCGAGGTGCTGCTGGATCCCACGGCACAATCGGAGGGGATTTTCCTAAGACACCAGAAGAAACCAGCCTAAGGAGCAGTACTGACTCATACTTCCTTAGGCATCCACACAGCTCTCCGGAATAATCCCAGTGTTATTGCTGGAGTCTCACGCTCGCATCCTCTCACGAGCAAATCCACACCAGTAACAGCAGCCTCAGCCTCTTGAGCTTCTGCTAGGAAATCACTGATCTCAGGACAACTTTGGCAGCGCGTACCCAGAAAACGTGCCTGGACTGTCAGTGAACTTGTAAGCCAAGCAGCTGCACCCCAAAGGTGGAGGGCAAGAAGAAATAACCAGCGCTGCTTTATTCTACTAGCTAATGATCAAACCAAATTCTTTTAAGTTATGTATTCTGGGTCATTTCTGTGATTTTTTCCCCTATCCTTATTGCTCTGTGCCAGCCTATAAAGCTATACAA